TGCCCTGAGAAACTTGTGCTGCAGGAGTGGCATTCGTTCAGACTGTGCTGCGATGCTCCTTCATTTTGGTAAAACAGAATTATCTTGTAGAAAACCTGTATGTGCTAAGCCTTTGTTCTCGCTTGTATCCATGTTTGTTTTAAACTGCAAGGTTCCAGTCTGTGAACTTATTATTTATTTCAAACTAATCAGGGATAGATATGATCCAATCTTCTTAAATTTCAGAAAAAGTCAAAATAATGTGAAGTGCCAATAGTTTCATACTCTTATGGGACTTACAAAAATTTCATAAGATGCCACATCACTGAAAAGCAGAATTCATTATGTGATGAGAAAAGTCATTAATATTAGAATGCGTAATAAATGGTCAAAAATGAAAATGAATAGCCAGACATATTATTAGAGTTCTCAGACCCTTACAAGTTCCAAATGAGTACTTGGTAACTGTCAGACTAAATTTAAAAAATATCTGTGGTAGAAATGCCCAAATTCAGATTGAATTATAAAATTTAGGTTTAACAATAAGGGGAAAAAAGCAAGAAAGACAATTAATGCAGAAACAAGCAAACCATGGCCATATGTAAAGATAGTTCTCTATCAGACAATGAAGAGAACTTCATTATTAAATTAAGTTTCTGATAACTAGATTCAGAATAACAAAACGCTATGTCCACTTTAAAGCTCTATGTCATTGCTTTTCATAGATTTCCTAAAGCTTTTAATATTCCCATTTTGAGTTAAAATGTTTACAATACTCTTGGCTTCTTTCAAAAAAACATTTCATTATTATCATATATTTAAACAATTAAATCATAATATTATAGAGTGCATAATAGCATCATATCAGAGGGCATGTTAAAGATTTACGTGCAAATGGAAAACATATCCAACCAAACTGCAGGGCCTGTTTTCTTCTGAGAAGCTCTTCTTTGAAACACAAAGTAAACATTTAGCATACAATAGGTTAAAGCGTTATTTCATACCATCATAGACAAAATTGAGAAAAAAGTATATTCAAGAGATCTTTAAATTTTTCTAAGATGGTGAAGAGAGGAAACCTATATGGGTAAAAATTACAAAAACAAAAACACTTTAAGATTTTAAATTTTTCTATTAAAGAAAATGCATAACAAATCATATTTAAAGAAAAGTCCAATAATTTTAAAATTAAGGAACTCTGATATTTTATTTTTACATCCATATTAGTGTAGGATAATATATTCTGTGTAATTGCTATACTTAAAAGATACAAATAACATCTAGAAGGTTGTCGCAAAATTTAAGATAAATCCTAAAAATTACTAAAATGCATAGTTATATGCTCACACATTAAACTTAAATAACAATAGAAATGCTTAAATAACAATAGAAAATAAATTATACTAACTTGTATACTTTATCTATTTTTCATACAAAAAGAATAAACTACATTCTTAAAAACTCAGTACACTTTTAAAACCAGCAGTTGACAACTGCACTAAATGTTCCTTAATTCCATTAAGAAAGGTTGAAGTGTGACTGTTTCTGTCACAGGTTCCATTGGAGGTAACAGCAGATACTGGTTTTCTTAACATGCCTCAGTAATTTTGGTACTTCACTCCTTTCAGCCAGAGTTAAACATGCTTTTAAATAGATGCATGTGGCCTAATAATAGACTGAATTTGCTTACTAAGGACTTCAAATGAAATTTTGTACGTGCTCTCTACTGATAGGAAGGTATCAAAGATATTTTCACAAGTTCACATATTTTTGTGGGTACTTCCCCAGTGGGGAGTGTGCAGAAGGCAGCTGATCGATGTTTCTCTCTCATCGATGTTTCTAACTCCCTGCCTTTCTCCCTTCCTCTCTGTAAAAAATCAATAAAATGTATTTTAAAAAAATAAAAGAAAAGCAAAGTCTGATTGTATGCATGAGAGATAAGTTCTTTGAGAAGACTGCCGAGTGATGGTTTATATTTTGTGACCTCTTTACTGCTAACACATGTTCAAAAGTAAATTGGAAGTGATTTCTGATTTCTCTTTTGTCATTTTCCTCCCTCCTTCACTCATGAGCATCCTTTAGCATGTAAATTGCTCCACCACCACACACCTCACCCCCATTCCCCAGACACTTTTCAAATAGATTCCTTCTTCCTAGATGGGATTTTATCTCTTTAGCTCATACAAAATAAGCCTTCACTAATGTTTTACGTCAATTCTTTCATTCATTACCACTTAAGTTAGTTCGAGTAATGTTATTACTTTTAATATATCCACATTAACTTATTAAATACCTATATTCAAATTTTAAATAAGAAGCAAAATTTAGTCATCAGTATCTTCCTTCTTCTCATTGATATATGCTTATTTCTGAAGAAAAGCAAAATATTTACAATATTAGCTAAAATTATTATGAGCAAACTCTTTGGCTCTTTTCCCTTCACACTGCTATTTAATTGATATAATATGATCTAACCCTAAATCTAATCTAAATGAGCAATTTCTGATACCAATTTCTTTTA